TTGAAAATGATCAACATTACTAGGTGGTTTTAATTATTTGTCTTCGAGCACTAGTACGTCTGTGTTATTACCTTAGCGACGGCTATTAGTGGCCCGCCATATTGTCGACGCGTTGGATTGTACAGTGGCGGATCTTCAGCCGGCGTAGAACTCACTTTGAATTTTGCCTATCTCGCATTAAGCGAAATTAACTAGTATACCTGTATGTATGTGCGTGCGTTTACGTACGTTTCTGTGCTATTGTGTCTATTCGACGTATTTAGCGGATGATGAGCGGTGATGAGTGAGCGTAACACGTTGATTCATTTGGCGAACGCGAGTACGAAGCAACGCAAGCGGCGGCCTCGTCCACCAAACGGCAATGACAAAATAGTGTCCGAATAAACGCTTTCGCAGATAGAACACGGACGCTGCGCGCCGATCCATGAATCATGAGCCATTCTTGTTTGCTTGGCCGTTGCCACGTCTAGGAAAATTGTTCAGCGAGACGTTTGTGATAAGAAACTAGTTGCCATCCACAATGGTAACTGTTTCATGTAAATTGAACGAGAAGTTACTGTGTGTGCTTATTCAACTCGGTACTTTAGTTCTAATCATTTTCTTGTACTGTATAATGTATCATATGATTAACGATATAAGCAAAACTACCGACAGTGCTAAATCAAACGATAATAAAAAACGTAGTTAATTTTCATCTAAATATGACGAAAAATCACCGCAGAGCTCGACAAAGACTTCTTGGACTTGTTACGACCATTCTGTGCCTTTCTACACGAAAACTCGTTAAATTTCTTAGAAAAGTCCTTACGCCGGATAGTAGTATACATATATCTATTTCCAACAAGTAGTTGGACACAATTTTATTATTAATCAATTGTTATAAGTTCCCGCGCGAACGTCCAACTGCAGTACCGCTCAGATCTAACCAATCTGCTGTGTGCCCGATCGCGATGCGAAGCAAAGTACGCATTGCAAGTGTTCTAGGCGACTGGCGCCGCAGTACTTTCACTAATCTGAATTTTAGTTTACCAGTAACTTCGATCGACGTACAGTTAGAGACGTATCCAGATTTACAAGTTTATCGACGATGATAGACATAAGTTGCATCTAGTGCCGAATGCTATGTCTACGCTATCGGCGGGGTCGAGGATAGCTCTAACGTCTGAGTCATCACGGTTGATACGTTCGCCCATTTAATGACACTATATATGGTCTATGCAGTTTTGTCCACCCACATCAGTTTCACGAAAGCCACAATACGAGGTTTCGAACGCGCAACCGACCACCTTTTTGCCTCTTCATTTCCTTCGGACAGAAGCAAGGGGCATCAAGCAGCGTGTAGCAGTCAAGATTCGGTATTTTCTTCGATGACTGTACATCCAAATGCGTGTTACGCCGCTGATAAAACGGGCTACCGCGATACGTGGAGGAGGTAATTACTCCATGTACAACCGCGCGCACACACGTATACGGTCACGTAAACACAGTCAAACATGGACACTTTCAAGGTCTTTTATGTTTTCCCGTTCAATGGTTGTACTATTCGTGTTATGCGTGCATCAAGCATTAAATATAGTTTATTTTTTGGCTCAGCCCATGGGCTCAAAGTTCGGCAGAGCCATATTTTCCACATGAACAACATTTTCAGGCTTCCTGTTCATCTCCTCCAGGGACTTTACGATTTGGTTATAGGGAGATTATGATTCTCATACAACTGTTGTGTACTACAGAAGCTATTAATACTCGGTTGCGGTCATTAATTAGACGCTGTATATCTAGCTTAGCTATTTCATGGATACAACCAGCCTTTCGTCACATATAATACTCTACGAACAGCACTATTTGGACAAAGTGGACGATCGTCCCATTGACCTTTAATGTGGAGGGCACGGTGGGAGTAGTGTGTATGTGCGAGGAAGCTAGCCTCGTAATACCGAGAAAACATGGCATGCTGAACAAGGCTCAATGAAACTCGGCTGGTTGTCTGGTGTCCGCTTGCCGGGCCATTTTTCCGCCGTCTTTGCTAGGACATGCGTTTGGCTTTGGTCTGGGGCCGATTGAGTATGTTTCAACGTCAGTGAGCATAAGGTCTAATAACCGTAAGACTGCCCTTAGCCAAAGGCGCCTGCCTGCCTTTACGATGACTGACCCGCCATCGATGTGTTTATGTGTTTGTGTATCTTACAATGCATTTTTCTGTCGAATGATTAACTACGTCAACATTGTTCTCAATGAATGTATCTATTACAAGGAAAATCACAGCTATGTCTTTCAAGTAACATGCATGTCCTCTACTGGATGCAAGTAGTTCAAGAGCACGTATCGTATTGATTGTATCTTTTATTTAAAATAATATTTATAGCTTGAAGATACTAGGAAGTAATTGTCACAAATCTTACGGAATGGGCATTTTTCGTTAAACGTTTCGATCCTTTTGGCTTTGGAGGCACCCACGCTGTGGCGAAACAGCACGCGACTAAAAAAATGACCATAAACATAACACAGATTTTAAGACATCAACAATAGTGGATTGCAAGCAAATTACTATTTTAGCTAGCATTCGACAGTTTTACGCGAGCTATTCACAAAATATGACTATGATACCCCGGATTTCCGGATTCAAGCGCTCAAATATGGTGACAATTCTGAAATGCTACCCTGTTATCTTCAAACACCGTTCAGATAAAGTCGATTACGCCCATGGGTCATTTAATGTTTACAACGACGTTTTTTTTTTTTATGTCGCGGTGTGACTTGTAAATCTTTTGTTATCTCCGGACAATAACCTTCCCCCCAGATCGGAAAATCAAGTTAAATCATCGATGACGTCACTATTTCCAACAAAAAATTATCTCAATGAATTGTTTAAAATCGTGTTTTCCATTTCATACGTAGAGGGCACTTTTCTCTTCTGTTATTTGGCCAAAGTATATAGAAACGTACTTGCTGAGTTTAATCAGTACACTGTGATGCCTCGGCCACTATCCATAGCCCCGACAGATTCATCATTCTTTAGACGGTTTTATAGCCAGTGACGGTGACTTCGCAAAGACTCATTCGTCATCGCACCACAATTCAGAAACTAACTACTTAGGAGGCAGCAAACGGGATAAATAGACCTGCATCCGCATCGTAGTGAAAACAACAATGTACTAACGGCAGAAGGCCACATCACAGTGCGTATCGCCCTGCTACTCAGTAGAAACCTAAACAGAGTCCCGAGAAATGATAGATCGGCTAGTAGGTAACGTGCTGAATAAGTACTTAAGGACAAGAGCGTTGCGAAGTAGAGATGGGAAAAGCCAAGGGAACTTTGTCGATTCGGCTGGGATCTTTCTAGAGGTATCAGCTATTCGGCAATAAATTTTACTTCAACGCATGAAGTACTGGACTAGCCTACGACAGTTTGTCCTGGTTCGATGTAGTGGCCTGGTGATCATTTACGACAGGTGGGGGACTCGACGAGCTATGCCTCTAAGAGGATAAACCTCCCTGAAAAGGTTGAGCCAAGCCTGATATGTTGCTTTGTTCCCTCTCTAGCTCTTTAGCGTTGATGAGAAATGTATCGCGATTGTATTCGTCCCGAGTCTTTATACCACTTTGAGTATATCAGAGACGGTATCGGAGGTCATAGCAGACGCAGAGACGTCATAGTCCGTGCCTGTAATGAGCGTGACATTTTCAACTTTGATGCTCAATCCTAACATTAGCAGTATTTCGCTATTTTCAACAATGAATAGTCTTTTCTATCCTATCTTGGCTTATTTAATGTAATTGTTTACTGCGTATCATAATAGAAGATTATTCTCGAGTTAGTTGTACGAGCAGTAATTACATTATTTGCAATCATTCATAGAATACCCGCATCTCTTGCACATATATGTAATGTAAGGATTATTCACGGTAAGTTATCAGCTTCGATAGCAACGCTGTCGCTCTCACCTAATACGTAATTGCACTCCTAATCTATAGCGTCATCGAATCAAAAACATACGCTGCAGCGTTCTCTGCGGTTCGGGGGCCGTTTGTGCCGCTTCTGTACCCTTTTTGTATGCATCATGTCGTAAGGTGGCATCTGTGTGGTGTTTGTTCTTCGTCTGTTGAACCCGGCCATGTCTCTGTCTGTGTGTGTTTTTGTGATGTATATGCCAACCATTATGAGAGCAGCGTGCTCCGGGATCACGACGCCGCGATGCGTCACAGCCATCAGCCCCACAGCGTCAATGATGATGATGTTACTGGTAGTCCCGTAATTTGGGCAAGTTGTATCGCGACAGTGCAACAGCCGCTGACCACGGCGGTAAGCGATGACGCTAGCGATGAACCGTCACCGAACATAGGGTGAGAGGGTAATCGTTTTTGAGGCTCGTTTTCTTTTCGGTCGGTATCACTCAGCATAGCATAGGCTCACACAAGTAGCTGTGCTAACTCCGTGTGCCCTTCCTTGCGCGAAAGCATTCGCGCAGCTAGCGCGTCCCCCACTACATGGGGGGAATATACTGCTGCTGTGGCTATTGGTGCCACCAGCGCATCACCATCTCAGACGACCACAACGACAACAGCGGCGACATCTCCTTGACATTGCAAGGGGCTCTAAGTAGTTGTAACGTTAGCGTCGGTGATTGTGATAGTGTTATTATATATGTATGCGGGGCTCTTTTTGTGTATTTTTACGTGTCTTCGTTTGTGTGTGTGTGTGTGTGTGAGTGACTGCCTCTTGGTTTGTCAGAGTTGTGTGAGAGTTAGTTTGCGATTCAGCTTTTCGCCTTTGCTGTTATAGATGGATGGACTGAGCCGTTGTTGTTGTTGTTGGCGGCGGCGTCGGTGGCTGCCAGGGGGACTAGTTGTTGCCGCCAGGTGGCCGTTGGATAGCCATCAGGGCAGACGTTAAGTCTTGACAATGGACAACACCCCTCACCCTTCCTACCGCGGTGGTCCCTCGCCGTCGAATGATCACTATAAAGGCGGGCAGTGCTAATTTAACGCACATCATTTGAGTGTGTTCGGTGTGATTGCGTACCCGGATCAACTTTCGGATCGTCATCATCGATCTTGAGCTCGTTCTCAAGCTCCCTGTATTCACAAATACAATAAAATGAAGTGCTTCACAGTGTTCGTCGTTGTTGCTGTCGCAGCCGCCGCTGCACAGCACACCGAAGAAAAGTACGGGCCACCCGAACCATATGCCTATTCGTATGCTACTGAAGACGCGGAGGGTTCGTCGTCGGCTGAACAGTCAACTGATGCCTCGGGCCGTGTGACGGGTAAGTACACCATCTCACTGGCCGATGGACGCACCCGCACAGTAACCTACTGGGCTGACGAAACCGGTTTCCATGCCGACGTTGTGACGAACGAACTCGGAACTGAATCGAAGAATCCTGCCGATGTTACAATCCAGTCCTCGGCACCGACTGGTCCCGAAGCTGCTCTAGCCGCCGAGCCCCAACGCGTCAAGGCTAAGGCCTCTTACGCTGCACCTATTTACGCGCCTGCCCCAGCGGCTTATGCTGCACCGGTTGCGTATACCGCCCCAGAGCCAGTTCACTATGCGCCCGTGCACGCACGTTACTACAAGAGACGAGCTTAAATTCGACGGCGATGTTCTTGTGCCCCCTTATCCCATGCATACTGCTTTCTCTTGCAAAAGACCAAACTAGTTCGGTTTAAAATAGTCTCCTACTGACTGAACAGTCTCCGTTTACTGCTCTACAACAATAACAACATTATACTTCAGCAGAGGACAATGTACTGCGTATTACCGATCGCGCACGCGTGTTTTCCATGTGTTCTAGGCTCTTCCTGAGATTTCGGTGTTGTCTCCCACGCCACAAACGATGCAAGGCTGAGCCGTGAACACGTAACATTTGGATCGTACAACTATGGCCATCACTGCTGCTACTGCTTCTTCTGAACGAATGACCGGACAACTAAGTTATATATATATATATATATATATATACATATATATGTAATACGTGACCTGCTGATGCGTTTTGGAAAGTAATGTTTCGTCAGGGGGCACCAAATGATCAATTAATCTTTTAGTGTTGATCAGGATTTCAAACATTCGACCCCGTACTTCGAGATACACCTTCGTATATCCCCATATATCTTCGAGGCTCCAGACACTCTTCTACTCCCTGAACTCATGTCTGTATAGAAACCAAATACAGAATAGCACCCCCCCCCCCCCCCCCCCCACTCCCGGCTCTTCGTTTAGTTAGCCGTTCGATATATTTAAAGTAAGCCTTACACGGACTCTGCTTTTGTGCTTGTGACCATACTTCAACGAATCCGATCATAGGTGTTGTTGCGTCTCATGAGTTCAACTTGCCTCAGCGACATCGATAGTTGGATTACGGAGCTAACTATGATTTGAGAATAATTAGCAGACCCTGTCGAACGCGGAACATCTGGTCACTTGACGTGGAAGACGATGTTGTGTGGGCTGTATTAAAACGAATAGAAAAGAAAAACAAAGTATATTCATTAAAAGTAATTTATTACTTCTAAAATAATAGTGTTGTTATTTCTTGTTTACTTGAGTATTTCATGAAAGAGACAATGGACTTCAGGCTTGCGAAAATGCGAGCTGATAGTATCTTCGATTAATACCGTTTCGCTTCTCTAGTTGAGCAACTGGAAAGGACCAAAGCAGCGAAAGGTTCAGCCTTTCGTTCTTTGTGCCTACTGCACTTATTTTTATACAAACTGCTTTCAGTCTCTCCACTTGATACCTAAACGCTTTTTTAAACTGTCACAATCCTTCGAAAGTTATCAACGAACAATAGAGTGCACAACTTACTTTGCCCACTTCTCGTTGGTTGTCTGAAAATGTTGTTTTGTAGCAGTAGCAGTGGAAACGAGTCACTGAGCACTGAAATCAACCCCTTCATTCACGCCGAAACAACTGGGTTTACAATAAAATCAAGAATAACTACTGAGACGGCAGTTAATCAACTGCAAGCGGATGCATGCGCATTAGAAATTCCTGCCATCTGTATTGCCACCCAACCGCTATATCCGAGAGAATACTAATGTATGTACATATGTAGTAAACCTGCCCTGTACGTAGGAGACACAATAAAAGTAATCCTGTCGTTTTTTTTTCCTTACAACACAGTGCAAGAAGAGAAACGATGAAATTAGTGACGATAATAGAGCGAAATGATGACCACATGTCTTTAAACGTAAAAACGTAGCTAACAGTTGTATGTTTAGCGGTTTTAAGACGCTCTAGTTCAGCAATCCTCGTGTCGCTTTGTTCTACTGGGCATCATCGTGCGACTAAAGACGAAAAACACCATCGGCAGTAAAAAGTGTTACGCTATGCGATTAGTAAAGCTGGCAGTGCGTGGTCCTTATAGGATTTCAGAAAAAAAAAAAAAACAACAGAAAGGGTGCAGAGTGCATGCACGTTATTGATGAAAACTTATGTTGCGTGAGATTACGATCGACGAGTAGTAAATTGGGTGGTCTTGAGTTATTATTTGTTTCTTTTTCGGCTGTTGCCAATGTTATTATCATTCAATTACCAATAATCCTATGACCTTCCCTTCGGATCCGTCATCCCTTTGTAACCGCCAGCAGCAAGCGTAAATCGTAAGAAACATCGCGTCCGTATGTCGTGTCGACCCCCCTAGGAGTGAAGGACGAATTACGTTTCCTTTCTGAGCCAGGTCCAAGATCGGCCGATTATTATTTCACGCAAAGTACGCACATTCATAAGTTGTGCTTGTTCTTGTTATTGCTGTTCCGATTATTGTTGTCCGTGTTGTATGCAAGAAGAAAATCTTATGGGACCGTCAGCATAATTTAGTGATCATAAACTTCCTTTTTGATCCTTTTCTGTTTACTTCCCCCAGACAGTACAAGGAGAGGTTTTATTGTGCATAAACGCAGTTGTGTCGATAAGGAAAAATGTCTATAAGGGGGCATGCCTGTCCGATTAAAAAATGTTAGTTTTTACTAAATTTAACAACACCCTCTGAGAAATAATGGCAGGGAATGTTGCTCGTTTGTCTCTGTCTGAAGTAACTATAGCCGGTGTACCTAGTTCTCAACGAAAGTAAATGACGGCGGATAATTAGCTACAGTCGGAGGTAGCGGTGTGCTATGGGTTTACACGAAAGACTGGGCAACTTAGCTTTTTCCGTGGTCTCCTCCCGCCCGTCCGCCCCCCTAACTTCGTTGGCGTGTTCTCGAGGCTCGAGTTAAGTGCTTGTACTGACACGTGTTTTTTGAGATTGTAGCTATTAACAACTACAGCCAGGGGGAAAAGTGCAGGATAATATGGGCCTTGATCCAACAATAATAACAAGAACTAAACTAACTAATGGCTATAACGAAGGGTGCATCTTGATTGTGAGATATTCCGATAACATTAGCAAACAAACGACTTCTAATTACCGTATCGACAACATAAGCGCTTGACTACTTGCAACGACGTTTGCAACAAAAATAATAAGATAGATTTAAGAGAGTAAATAATGATAATAATAATTCACTTTACGAGCAAATCTGTAAATCCGCATTCAATTGCATGTCCCGACCCGTATCAGAATTAGAAAGTTTTAGATTCCAGATAGCTGGCTCGTAAAACCCTTCATCTTCATTAGTCTACGAACAACAATTAATGTCTGTGATTGATAAAGACATAATACTTCGTTTCATCTAAATTTCCAAATGTTAGATACATTGTTGGCTGCATTGACAGTTAGGTCGGTTCGAATCTACGTCACATGACAAGAAGATAACAAGATCACTTCGATTGTTTGAGGGAACGTTTCTGTTGTTGTGAAACCTTTACACTGGAATACTGAACGCGCCGATTTGACATAACGTTTCTTTCCATTTTGGTCCCATGCATCATTAAATATTTTGCGTCGCCATTATAAACATGGTAAATAGATGAAGAATCGATATAATATTACAATAGTGACAGAAGGTCTGCCCTAAAGTTCGCGTCCTTGTGTTCTGGGGCTGTGTTTGATTCTGTTTCCATCGTCGTGGAAACAGAATCAAACACATTTTTTTGTCGTGTTCTGCGATACAATAATAAGCCTTTGTACCTTTAGGCAAGAGAGGCCACTGAAAATAAATACAAGAAGACCATAACCTATGCCATTTCGTTCTGTAAGGGTACGCAGCCATTCATCGCGGCTAACGCACTAGCTCTGGAACACAAAATCATTGTTGACATGCTCAGTGCATCCAACTTCGATGTTATTTATTGTTCTGTTGCTCTGCGAAAGCTATTACATAGGAGGATTTGAAAATTATCTATTATTATTACGTTTTTCAGTTTCGGAAACATTCTAAAATGGGCATGGTGCAGTTTACGTATCGGCATTAGCATAATTGATTTTTTTGGAAACATCATGATTTTCCTCTCGTTCCTGTGCGGACAATTTTTTTTCCACCTCTGTCACTGCATTGACAGTTTGTAAGGTATGGACGCTAGGTCTCCGAACTATATAAAAAAATCGGGTGCAAATAAATTGTTATACAGTGTAACATAAATTTCAACTATTTTCGTTGTAGCAATAATTTATGAGCAAATTTGCAGATTCAAGGCAGTATCAATTAGCATGTTCCCGACTACATTAAAAACGAAGACCCATGTGATGTCATGTTTTGGCGCAACCGCCTACCTCATCCTGCCGTCGAACAACAATGAAACGACAATGTTGCAAATAAAATTTGATCTCCAGACAATTTCACTGAAATTTTTGGCAACGGTATTTCTGTCTCGTATTGTTTACGCCTTGATATAACGAATCCAATTCGTTTGTTGCCCCAGGGAGTCCAGTTTTGATTCGAACCTCTTTGAATTTACATGATTACAAGCCATATCCGTACGTTATCCAAATATAAATAGTGGCATAGATAAAAAAAAAAAAGAAAAAAGCTGTACTTACATTTTAAAAAATGCAATTTTCCACAAAGTTCCCTGTGAATCGTTCCAGTGACCTACCTGTGATTTACGAGCCTAGTTGTTCTAAGTAGTTTTTAAAACTAAACAAAAACACGAGGCAGTTCGAACCATATATATGTATACCTGTCTCGTCAATATCTCATGTGGCTAAAAAAAATTGTTTACGCTGTGGGGCACCCAAGTGTCTTAAAGTACAAACAAGGCCGTGTTGACGAGATGGTAGAATTTTACATTCGGGCATCGATACAAATATCATGTTGTTGTCAAGCCATTTTGATGGTGTGGCATCATTTGAGGGTTAGAGTCGTTCTTTCTCATCATGATTAGCACGAGAGGGATATAAAGTTTCAGATTATCCGAATGTAGCTTATGAGGGTGCCAAAAACTGAGCTGTTCAACCGTGCTACATATGTAGAGGCAATTCATATAAGCGAGTCTGTAGCCTTTGTTCCGGTACTTTCTCAAGGACTGATTTTATCCAAGGATGACATTTAACGAATTCAGATTCTGCTGTATTTTGGGCTTTGGTGGTTCAGATTAATTGCTGTATCCTCATTGTCCTGCTACACGCATCGGTCCATTGTTTCGTGGAAGCTCTTGTAAACCCCTATACTTCTTGCATTCTACCGTAACGCACTTGTCTCTCGTACATACACGTTCTTACTCGCCACATTCATTATTTGATCTTGTTAGTTATAAAAACGTCCCTAATATTTCTTTAGATAGACATAATTTTGCCGATAATTGATATTCAGCTTATTATTACTGCCATAAATGCCACGTTGATGAGCTTAGTATTACGGACATCGTGCATTTAGCACACCTTTATGTGGTGAATAGAGTGAATAGTGTTACCGCTGCGTAATACTGAAAAATAGAACCAATCAGTCTGTCAATTGTGTAACTGTATTAAAGTAAAAGCCTCATACAGAAGTTTCACAAGTCGAAAATAGGAGTGTTTCTTACATTATGCAATATATTGAAGCAGATGCAGTAAACGTTAAATGACCAATCGCCTTTATGCTGCATAAAAACAGCTGACTCGCTCTCGTGTTATATATGTATCCTACTAAACTTTTTAATAATGTGCACTCAGCATGTTTTAGGTTCGCTTAAACTTTAAAAACGAATAGCTAATCCCTATCTAATTTGTTTAAATTTTAAGTTATAATAATGTGGTAGATATACTTTTTTCGGGGGGATGTCTTATTAAAAATTTACGATCTTCAGGCTTTTTAAAGGTCGTCCACAACTAAATTCCTAGGCTAATCAATCAATTACTTAACGTCAACCTACCGCTGTTGATCTGTGCTATAATGCTACTTATCTAGCTAATATTTCTCCTGGGTTATTGCAATATCCGATTCTCTACTCTTCATCAGAATCTCCGAAAAACTCCAACGTTTAAAGTGACTCTAATATTTTCTAGAATAAAAAAACTATATTCGGCAACACCTAATAAAGCCGCAGGCTACTTAAAAAAATAGTATTTTATCAATTTCAATAAATTAAGTCAATAAGTTGCACAGCATCAACCCAACGGTTCTAATCGAAAAGTATCGTAAAATGCTGTGAAAAAAA